AAAAATGGAGTAGATGACAGGCGTATCATCATATGTCCATGTGAGTACTAACTCGATGGACCCATGTAACTATATGCAGAATCAAGTGGAAGAATGGGGTATAACCCTATGGTGGAGAATGGTAAGAATACTGATGGGAGAGCGAATGGTAGGTAGTCTGATGAGTAGATGGATGTGGTAGAAAAGATCATCATTTTTCTAGTTGGTAGTTACTATGTTCACAAAGTTTGGGTGGGTACACCAAATATTTTCAAGCCTAAAAGGTTTTAAGAAGGGATGAAGGACATTATTTAATTTGACTAGTACGGGATTATGGACAGAACATATTTTGGGTAAATGAGTAACTTTGGCATTAGGGAAGATTTGTAACCAATCTTCGTTAGCAAAAACACGATCAAACCTTTCTATGATCAAACCGTTATTTTTCCTCATATGATTGGACCAGGTAAATTTACAACCTTTGAAGCCTAAATCAATTAGGTTACAATTGTTAATATAATACCAAAGTTTTGACAGCCGATTAGAATTTACAGGTTTACCTCCTAGTTTTCCCGATGTATTAATAGCATTATTGAAGTCATCTCCTATCATCCAATGACCTTTATAATTTTTAGATGAGGAAGTTAAGTTATCCCACATGGTGTCTCGATTATATTGATTTGTGCTAGAATATATGAAACTAAAGAGCTAGTTGTAATTAAAGGCTCTTACCTCTAATATTGCTTGAATTTCTCTGCCTCTCCTAGTGAAGTGTTGGACATTGATCTCATTGTGGTTAAAGAGAACAGACATACCTCCAGCAAGACCTTCAGCTGGGACTTCTATCATTTTGGAGAAATTGAAATCATTAAGGAGAGTTACATGGGAAGTCATTCTAGTTTCAAGAAGAGCCACCATGCATGGTCTATGAGTGTCAATTAATTTCCTAAAATTTCAGCGAAAGTCATCATTGTTAGCCCCTCAAACATTCCAAAAAAATTTATAGAAGTGACTTTATTCATTGGAAATGGTTGGTGATGGTTGGTGTCGGTCTCTACTTCCACAGGGTTGTTGTGGTTCCTTCACATGGATGGTACTAGGATTACTGCAATTTTTCCCACTGTAGGATCCTGTGGGGGTCTTATGTGCATGAAGAATTTGTACATTGCACTTGGACAACTGAATATGTACTCCTTGCTCAACATTTCCTGGAAGAGTAGTATTTTTACCTCGTTGAAGCTTTAAAATTCCACACTCAGTTTCATACCTTGTGGAGAGTGTTTTTCTTCTACCCCTGCTGGATTCTGTTCTGGTTCTTGAACATTGTGTTGGGTATTGGATTCCATGGATGCTGGGGTATTTATTATGTTCAGGGCTTGATCCTGGTTTGCATGCAATCCCCATGGCGTGAATATTGGGTTTGTTTAAGTGATTTCCTCTGGTGGGAAGAAGGGAAAGTTCAGAGGAATCTGTGTGTTAGAGCTTGAAGGAGGTTCCAATGGTTCAACACTGTTTGTATCAAAGTGTGGTTCATGTTTGGGGCTAGAGGGTGGAGTATATTGTTGATCCACATTTGGTTGGTGTAATATTTTTTGGCTAAGTGCATTCCCTTCGAGATTAGTTGAGCTAGGTAACGAGTATTTTGGATGATTATCTCCATTTTCTGGCCATTGATCTGGATGTTGAAGGTTATTACATGACCTATTAGACTTGTTTCTAGCCGTTGGTAGTTATGTGGTGGAAGAGGTGAGATGATGAAGAGTGGTTGGTTTGGTAGTTGGGGGGAGGACTGGAGGAAGGTTGTCCATGTTTTGGTTCCTGTGCAGAATATGGACAAGCGTGTATCTTCTTATTGCTGTGAATGGGAGTCTGAGCATTCTCTTTGTTGGTGGATAATATATCGTAGACAGAATTGGTAAGATATTGTGGAGAGAGTGGAATGATTTGCTATTGTAGTGGGGCCTATTTGCATGGAATTTAATTGGGCGCGTGTGGTTTATATCCATATCTTTGGTGGATATGGACGTAGACATGTGTTCTTTTTTTCCCCATATGGCAGTCTTGCTGAACTTATTTAGTTTGCATGTTGTTTATATTATTAGTGGTATTGGTTTGTTTAGGTAATGAAGTAGTGATAGTAGAGTTAGAGCGGGTAATAGGGATAATTTTAATTAATTAGAGGATATATCTGAATATTAGTAGTGGTCGTGTCTTTATCTATTAAAATATTAGGGCTCAATGATTGAGTCCCTATTAACAAATTTTTGCCATCATCTTCCACGTGTAAATTAGTTTGTTCAGAAGTGTTCATAGTATTGTGCATGCATTGGTCAATACAAGAAAAATCTAGTGGAGGGATAGCGGTTTCCTTCAAAATTATAGGCAGGTTATCTAAATTGGAGAAGTGGTTTGATGTAGTTAGGGTTGTATTGTAAGAGCATGAAAATTCCAAGAACTTTGGTAATTCTTTTTGTCAATGTCAGTGAATTTATGAGACTCTTTTTCAATGTATCTAAGTTTCTAAGTATTGAGATACTTACATATATTTGCATCGAAAATCTTAGCATTAATACCTGTTGTAGGTGTGTTAGTGTTGGTTGTGGACCTTGAACGTTGCGTATATTCTTCTTTGCAAAAGATATTGTCTTCCATTCACCTTCTTCCGGACAATGAGCACAGGAATCTAGACCTAACCCTTGCAGACTTATCTTGGGAGGTTGAGGACTTGAATAGGAACACTTTTTGATATTATGACCAAGTCTTCCACAATTTTTATAGAAAAAGTTTTCCCCTTCGTAAAGAATTTGTTGTTTATAGGAACCAACATAAATGAAAGGTTTAACTGGTCTTTTTATGGTCATCTCTACACACAGCCTTGCATATCTTTCTCTTAATGTGGATGAAGTTCATGCGTCAATTTTTAATAATTTTCCTATTTTGTTACCAATCTTTTGTAGGATAATGTTGTAATAAAACTCACTTGGGAGTTGAGGTAGCGCGTATATGTACAACTAAAAAGAGTTGTTTGGCCTTTGCTGCCACAAGTTGTGGTTCTCATTTTTGCACTAAATGGAAAAAAACCACTAATGAACCAAAGCTCATTGTGCATGGCTCTAATCTTATTTTCTTCTTTATTGAATTTTACTGTAAAGTAGTCTGCTCCTAGAACCATGAGAATAAAGCTTTATGTAGGTCTCCATAGCTCTTGGATTTTCTTGTTGAGATAAAGGTGTAGTATATGCTTACCCATGAGCTTAATAATGACATAATATTTTCATAATTGATAGACATGCCTAAGTTCTTCTATGGATTTGCCGATCTGAAGTTTTTCATCGATTATATCTGTTCCATGTGTGTAGGATTTAGGCTGCACTGTTTCATCCATTGTCGTATTATCTACAATGAATTGAGTATATGGCTCTTCTTGTTGCATAGTTATGTAGGTCTCCTCAGAATTGACTAACAACATGTCTTTGAATGTGATGATGGGGATTTTAATTAGGGAGGAGGAAATGTTGGGTTGTTAGTAGGGGTTTAAGCGGCTGTCAAGTTCCCCAGGTGGGGGAGTAATGGCTGGTGGTTTAGGTAAAATTTTGGAGATTTGTCTAGGGGTACTTTCATATACACATTTATTTTTGTTGCTCATGTCTTCGAACTGTTTATGCTATAATTAATTTTATTTGTGCTCACATTTTATTTATTAATTTTTTGTGCTCAACCATATGTCAAACTGGCTTTTTCGTTGGATATCATTTAAAGAAAAAATAACTATCTTGTGGCTCCATCTTGTGCATATATTGGCAAATTTATTATTTTAGTACTTCTAGTAAGTAATTCGTGTTAAGTAATGATGTTAAACATGAAGTATGAGGTTGCCTTTCGCTCTTCATCTTGTTCACAGTTTACAAAATGGAAGAACTTTTCTCGAAGCTTATCTTTTTCATCAGTTAGCTATTTTTAGCGAATAATGTTTAATCTAGAAAATATTTTTTTATTATCTAAAACAACTGAAGGTATTTTAGTAAATTAAGAGTTATAACACACTACTATACAGTCAAACTAAATAATAAAAATATTATTTAACAACAACAAACGTTAAAATTTATTCAAATGAAGTATCCTTAAAATGATACAATAAAATAATGTATCCTTAACAACTTGTTTGGATGATTATTACCTATTGTATCGTATTGTATTGTTATCCCAAAATAATGTTTGTTTTAATTGTTTCATTAAAATTGATTGTATTGTATTGTTAAATACATTGTTTCGGAACAATAAAAAGTTTCATTTTTTGAAACAACCGATTTGGTGTGGCGGGATTGTTTTCTATTTTCTTTTCAATTATGCCCTAACTTATTACTCCATAATTCTATTTATTATTTACCTTTTTTTTTTATTTTAACTCCAAATCCCCAACCTATCACCTACTTTGTCTTATTCCCTTTTTTCCCAATATTCTGCCGCTTCCAACTCCAACATACAAGTTATAGGTTTGCCTTCTTTTTGTTTCGTTTTTTTTCTCCTATGTGATTTTAACACCAATTCTTTGTTTATTGCTGATAAATGAGTTATTCAGCATCCATTTCTTCGTGTAAAATAGAAGCCGCCTTTTCTTTGCATTTTATATACCAACTGTTATTTTTATTTTTAATTGTTATTACAAGGATAAAACACCATTCTAATCACTAATCAAACCGAGAAAACAAGAAAATTTTGGATATTTAATACCTCATTAACATACTAACAAGCATTCCAGTAGAATTTAATGATACTTATCTTTCAATAGTTCTTAAATTGTTTTTATGGTAATTCTTGATAAATTTATTATTTAAAGAATTAAGAATATTTTAGTAAACTTATCAAATATAATATTACAAAATTAAACTAAATAGCAAAATTTTATAACAAACAATACAATCAATATAAATATTTTATTCATAAAATAATACGATATAATATAATACAATACATTATAAAACGCTACAATATGGTTAACCGCTGTGCTAACGAGTGCAAAAGCCAAACTGACCTAGTTTACACTCAAATTACTTTACCAAACTGCAACTGAAAGTTGTACACCATGGAAATGAAGAGGAAAATCATGGCGAGAGGAGACCAAGATCGGCTCAGCGATTTATCCGACCCGATTCTACTACACATCCTCTCTATGTTGCCGAACAGTAAAGCAGTTGTAAGAACCAGCGTATTATCCAGAAAATGGAGACTTCTTTGGATGTCTGTTCCAATATCACTCGATTTCGACTTCCCAATTCATGGAAGCGAAAATGACAATCTCTTTTACTTGGCTTCCACCTATAGAGAGCTTTATTATTGGAGGAATTGCGAGAAAATCCAGAGATTCAGACTCTGGCGCCTTAGGTACGAGGATCGTTTTGCTAAAGATATTGATTTATGGGTACATTTTGCAATTAAAGTTGCTAATGTTGAAAGTTTTGCACTTGGAATTATCGATACAAATGACCAAAGATATGAGTTTCCTCAATTTGCATATAAAAATACTAAATTGAGGGATTTGGCTTTATGGTACTGCCAACTCAACCCTACTGGTAGTGTTAATTGGAATAGTCTCGTTTCTCTTTCACTTGGGTCCTTGCCTTTGACTGATGGTGTAATGGAAGAGGTATTATCTGGTTGCCCTAACTTGGAGTGCTTGGAACTGGATTGTGTTTCAGGCATTCATCGTTTGGAAATCAGCTCTATGAAGCTGAGAGAATTGAGTATACAAGATTACATAAATGAGAATCCTGACCTTTGGCTCGAAATATTAGCCCCGTATATTCAAAATTTGGAACTTTGGGGAGACAGCAGTGAGATACGCATCCGACAGAGAAATGTGGCTTCACTTGTCACTGCAGTCCTACATTTAAATTTCGGCAACTTGGAGAAGGAGTTTAGTTATTTGAAGGAACTTCTTGACTGTGTTTGCCATGTCGAGAATCTTGAATTGGGTCCTTGGTGCATCGAGGTTTATTCATACTCTTCAGTATCCATAATTCGGTTTTTTTTTTGTTTGGGACTTTTTATTTGCAATGGAATCATCAGTTTAATAACATTAACAAATCCATTACTTAGGATAATCTGATAACTGAATTAAGTACGAAAGAATTACATTCTCATGGCCAATTTGGTTGGACAGTGTGAGGTGATTGAAATAAGACCTTTTGAACTAAATTTTAGATGATGACATGTGAGAGTAAAGTGTTTGCAATGGAAAGAACAACATGTTAAATTGGGATTGTTTATAGTGATCATACTCTTTTAAGTCCTGTGAATAGTTTTTTTGAAATGTTCAAAAGTCCAATTTTGGATTTCCAAACCAAACTTGAACACTTTGATGTGGTAAAAAGCTGTCGCATAGTCCAAGTTGTTTTTACGAATTATTCAACTATTTCCATTTCATTTGTTAAATATGTCACATTTCCTTGTTATGGCAAATTCTGGTTTAACTATTTGGTTTATAAGTGCCTGTCCATATTGGAGTTGAAAGGGTGGCAGTCTCCGCCATCAAGCCGGAAATTCTTAAAGCTTAACGCAGGCTTGGAATCATTGGACTTCCCTGGAATTTGTAGCTTTCTACAGAGTTCATCAGATCTTGAGACATTGGTTATTGAGACATTGGTTATTGACTGGGACGATGACAGACCAAGAGTAAATTTCTGTTAGACCTTTATTTTTGTTACTTCATGTTATCAATGTCAAACAACTATTAGTGGAAAAAGAAGACAATATATATATCAACATATTTCTGATCTTACGTACTTTAGGAAAAAACTCTTAAACCTTTTTTGTCCTTTTTAAAAATTTAAACCACCTTAAGTTACAAAGAGGGGGACTTGACTGCCTTACCTCTTCAAAGAAAAGTAGGAGTTGAACCGGTTCAAGCCTCAAGTAAAGAGAAGATTGAGAATGTTCAATGTCTGACAACAGTGTAGACTTGATGAGCTTTACAACAATTGCTTCTAAACTGTGGAGACTTGCTCCCCTGTACATTGATTCCATAAGAACCTAAAAAAGGAAAAAGTGGAAGGAGTATATCATTTGAGGTCACAAAAGGGTCTAACCAGGAAATTCATTTTGTTGCATTATTGGAGGTAAAGGTTTTGCAACTCCCGTGGCAGCATTCACAATAAGTAAAGGTCGGCTTCCACCCAAATGTTTCTTATAGAACATTCAAGGCACCATTTAAGCTCACAGGAAAGTGCAAATGCTTCAGCCATATTGTTTGTTCCATGGCCTAGTGGGACTATATATGCCATAAATAATATCACCAAAAGAGTTCCTCACTATGCGACCTGGCCCACATTGTCCATGTCTGCAAGCGCCATCTGTGTTTAGTTTACTGATCCTAGATCAAGTTTGCAGCATTTAATTATAGTGCTTGTCCATCGAGGTGAGTATTTCTCTCCAATTTTGGGATTTTCATCTGAATGCTTCTTTACAAGGATTTCAGTATCTTCTTTTTAGTCACGAAAGTTGATGATTTCTCTTTGCTAAAAATGCTGCAGCAGCGTGCTTATTGTTGCTTTTTTGTGTAAGAAGTGCATTGGAACTTTTTTGTTCTCTCAATTTATTTTCCTCAAGAAAATAGTTCAACTTGAGTTGCTTTGATAGAAATTTCATGTTGTCACTGTCACAATTCTTTCATGCGTAAGCCAATTCTACAGTCAACTTTTTGGTAGTAGTAAGAAAAAAATGTTTAACAAGGGACAGAACTCACCTTCATGCAAAGAGATAAATGATCATCTTCAGTGAAGCTTTGAAAATTTTCTTGTTGTTTGCATGTACTTCTTTGTAATATTTGCTAAGCACTTGGCATGCTCGTTTAATCTATAAAAATGCATCACTTTTTTATTTTATCCATAATCAACTCCTTAGCTTTCTACTTCCGTCTAAGGAGAATAACTGGTTAATATTGTGGTTTTTTCCTACAGGACCTACTGTCAAGGTACTAAGACGAGGATGGACAGGTCAAGAGGTTTGAGACACATAATTTTAATTGCTCATTGCCACATTTGAAGACCATAAAGTTCATCAACTTTCTTGGACCATTAAGTGAAAATAAGTTTGTAATGCCATTGGTAAAATATTTGCTCAAGAGTGCAACAATGCTAGAAAAATTTGTCATTGCTGCCGGATTCATAGGGAGTGATGTGTCTCGGGATAAAATGGAACAGGAGTTCCTGACCTTTCCAAGATCCTCTCCGCACACTTCAATTGTCTTTTCTCATCGATAAAGTTTTGTCTTCTCTGGTTTGTATTGATTGCAACGTACTTAACAAATGTTAGTTTTATGTTTCAAACTGCTCTGCAGGTGATGGACAAGTTTAGGATTGTACTCATCAGTGAGTTTTTAATAGTTCTTCATGTCTAAGTAATTTGGTTATTATGTGATCATCATGCAAGAGATGTTGCTCGAAATACTTTGTGATTTCTATTCATATCGTTGAATCCTGATCACCCCCCCNNCCCCCAAACCCCCCAAGTAATTCATCGGCTAAATTCCGGAAACCTCGAGTAGTCCTGCAAATTATGCATTTCCTTTTGATGGTTCATTTGCAACAAGTAATGCATTCTTTCTTTTCTTTTGACAAAGAAATAACATCTGCAGTTAATTCACAAAGGCTAACTAAAGGGCTAGTAAGAAATATCAAGGGAAAAACACGATAAATTAACGGTCATGTTCAGTTCATATATAGATGACCAAACAAGGTAAATAGATGCTTTATTGGTCAAAGAAAACATACTGTATCATTATAAAAACAGTTAGGGGACGTAATAGTAATGAATAAGATGTATTAATAATGCTAAGATTAATAATATTGAGATTAGTTATGCTGAGATTAATTATGCTAGAATTATTTCTTATCAATTGTTTGGTTTTGTGTATTAAAAATAACATGCATTGCATTATTTTAAAAAAAAAAATTACTTGTTTACAAAAGTACACTTCATATTCGTTAAAAAAGGGTTTAGAGTTGGTTTTGGTTGGAATTTTATATTGAAACTTGGAGAAGAAGATGACATAAATAATATGTACATATTTTGTATATCGGATGCACAAATAGCTCATAAAATATATACAACTAACATGATTATATATAAGTTGTATGCAAATTGTTGTTTCTTGACCGAATTCTGCACGGAAAAAATTATATACAAGTTGTATGTAAATTGTGGTTTTTGATGGGATTATGTACGACAAAAAAATTATATAGAAGTTGTATATAAACTGTAGCTTTTGACCGAATTATTTAGTTTGTTAATATTTAATTACTTTCTATGAATAGAAAAACTTAGCTAAAACGGGTAAATAATTTTAAAATTCTGTACATATACGAAAAATCCTTAATTATGAATAAGAAATGGACCCCATTTCTTAACAGACTAATAGCCTGTTTGGCCAAGCTTTTTTCTTGGCCAAAAATGCTTTCTTTTTGTTGTCAAAAGCGCTTTTTTCTTCAAAGTTAAGGTGTTTGGCCAGGCTTTTTGAAGGAAAAAAAAGTGCATTCGAGTAGAAGCAGAAGCAATTTTTTAGAAGCAGAAAAAGGTAGCTTCTCCCGGAAGCACTTTTTTAAAAACACTTTTGAGCACTTTTTTGAAAAGTACTTTTGACAAAAATACACTTAGAAACACATTGGTAGGGGTGTTCATGATTCGGTTTGGATCAGTTTTTCCTAAAAAGAAACCAAACCAAGTAAGTTGGTTTTTCAAATATTAGAACCAAACCAAATCAATTAAGTCGGTTTTTCTCGATACGGTCTATGTCGGTTTTTTCTTAAATATAAGACATACACTACCAAACACATATTCCGGCGACCACATTTTCAATGTAACACTATCAAATCAATTGCCCTTTGAGAAATCTGTTATTTACCAAAATATATTGATGATAATTGAATCAAATAGTGATGAATAATTTAAGGACTCAATTAAAAATATGTTATTTTTAACACGAAATAGATTCTTACACTAAACAAAAGAAAACCACCAATCAAACTAGAATGTAAAGGTAAAAAACTATATTAAAAGTGCAAACTATTAACATTTACCATAAATTTTTTGAAACTTTATTACACCTATATATATATATATATATATATATATATATATATATATATATATATATATATATATATATATATANGTTATTTTTAACACGAAATGGATTCTTACACTAAACAAAAGAAAACTACCAATCAAACTAGAATGTAAAGGTAAAGAACTATATTAAAAGTGCAAACTATTAACATTTACCATAAATTTTTTGAAACTTTGTATAACAATATACATATATATAGGTGTAATAATAAATTTGAAACAGTTAATCCTATAGTCGGTTTGGTTTCGGTTTTTTCTGATTAAAACCAAAACCAAACCAAATTTGATCAGTTTTTAAAATTCAAAACCAACACCAAACCAAACCAAAAAGTATCGGTTCTTTTAGTCAGTTTGGTTTGGTTCGGTTTTTCGTGTTTTTATGAGCACCCCTACACATTGGCCGAACACTAATTGCTGCTCAAAAATATTTTTCAAATTTATTTGCAAACAAAAATTGTTTCTGACCAAAAGTACTTGCACTTTTGAAAAAAATACTTTTCAAAATAACCTGATTTTCTAGCTTTGGCCAAACACACAATAAAATTCCTAATTCTACCGGCCTAATCCTTAGTGTCAAACAGCCGAGCTCCCTCAGCTCTATCAAACAGCAGAGTTCCGTCAACTTTACGATGGAAATGCAGAGTAAAATCACGGCGAGAGGAGATGGAGACCGACTCAGTGATTTGCCTGACGCAATTCTAATTCACATTCTCTCTATGTTGTGGAACAATAAAGAAATCGTGAGGAGCAGCGTATTATCTAAGCGATGGAGGTTTCTTTGGAAGTCCGTCCCAATATCACTCCATTTCGACCTCTTCTTTGGTTACAGCGAAATAGGAATCCGTGATTTTGTGGGTTCCGTCAATAGAGAGCTTCATTATTGGAGGTCTTGCGAGAAAATTCAAAAGTTCAGGGTTAGTCTCTATACGTACAAGAAGAGTTATATTAAAGATATCGATTTATGGGTACATTTTGCAACTAAAGTTGCTAATGTTGAAGATTTCACACTTGAAATTCGCTTTGGTGGTGACTTATATGAGTTTCCTCAGTTTGCATACAAGAACACATCGCCGAGGAATTTGGATTTAAGAGGCTGCTGTCGTAGACGATTGAATTTTATTTGAGTTTGAGTCTATTAAATTATTTGGACCACATGATAAATTTAAATACGTGTCAGCCCAAACAATGATTACGGGCTAGAATAATTGAATTTATTATTTAAATTTAATATGCGTATATGGATTTAATTAAGAGCTTGAGTTAATTGGGCTAGTTCATCTTGTTGGGCTTCAAATGATAAGCCCAAAATCCATGCCACGTGTCAAATGACATGGCACGCCAAATCAAATCAAGGGCCACTAAAATCATGCCACGCGCATAAGTGATGTAGCATGCCAAGTCAAATATAAGGACCAATCAAATGTCGCCAAATAATCAAATGACATGGTTCAACCAATTATGTGCAAGCTTATCACATAGCTTTAGTGATAGGTTTGATGACCCAAGTTGGCCAATCAAATTGGAGGAAAAAGATATGTGTTTATCACAAGTTCCCTCCCCTACAACTGTAAATAGGGGGTCTCCATAAGGCCAAAGGGAGAAGAAAAAGATACATATTAAAGCTCTCCTCCACTGTAGTGATTCGCAAGTCTTCCGCATAGCAAGAAGTCGTCGTATCCAAGGGGTGAGCCGCAAATTTTCCATCCTCCACGTTTGTGATCAAAGCCTAGCTCCGCATTCGTGGTCAAATCCCAACAACAAGTGGTCCATCAATTCAAGAACAAGCGAAACTCTCGAATTGACGGTCGTGAGGAGAAGAATCAGAGGATTACATCTTTTAAACTTAAGATTGTTCAAAGATTGTAACCCGCATAAATTATTGAAATACAAATACTTTTATTTGTTGCTATATTTCTTGTCTTGATTATTATTTTCAGGAACGAAATTTTAGTTGTTACAAATTTTGGCACGCCCAGTGGGACAATCTTTGCCTCTCATCCTTTCTCTCCAACAATCAAAATCCAAGAACGCTAAAATGGCTTCAAAGAAAATCAACTCCGGTTCAACTTCCACCAAGGCTGCTAACTCCAGGTTCTATGCTGATGTGGAAAGCATCCTCGATATTACCTTTGGAAGCTTCAGACCAGTTACGAGGAGCAAAACAAGCTCTTTAGGACAACAAGCACCCTAAGTGTCGTCCGCGTCTACAGTTGCAAACAAATTGGCACGCCCAGTGGGACTAGTTCTTCCCTTCATCTCTTCCTCCTGCAAATTGAAACTACTTCAAAAATTTCCGTTGTGATCGGGTACTTCAAGTCTTGTCTTCAAGTTTCACCAAGCGTGGACCCCGACAAACCTTGAAGTAGGGGGCATTTGTAGACATCGAAATTTTAATGGATCAAGCTAAATCCTAAATTCAAGATACTACAAGACCTCTTGAAACTCTAAGAGTCTGTCAGTGTTGCTTGGAAGCTACTCTACCAAAACCCTAGGTCACTCCTATAAAAAGGGTTTCATAATCCTTTAAAAAATATCTCAAAAATGGAGATCATCTCGAAAATCCCATAAACTCACAGGATATTCACAAAGAGATCAAGAAGTGGCCGAATAATTCTTGACAATCAAATACTTCAAGAAGATCCACAACACACTTCATGAATATCAAATAAATCCATGAAAGCCCGCACCGTCCTACGTTCGAGAAACACGCTGTTCTAACCCTCGAATCATGGAGATAATCAGGAGAGAAGAATCAAGAGGATAAACAGAATTATACCCGCGTCTTTTTATGAATAAAATTATCTTTCTTCATATTTATATTGTGGTTGCAATTTATTTTTTTATCACATATAATTCGTTGCAAACAAATTGGCACACCCAGTGGGACTAGTTCTACCCTTCATCTCTTCCTCCTGCAAATCGAAACTACTTCAAAAATTTTCGTTGTGATCGGGTACTTCAAGTCTTGTCTTCAAGTTTTACCAAGTCTGCACCCCGACAAACCTTGAAGTAGGGGGCATCTGTAGACATATAAAATTTATTGGGTCTAATTCATACAAAATTTAAATTAAATTCAATTGGGTTAAATAATTAATTTGGATTTTACAAATTAAATTAGCCCGTTTTATTATTTTCAAGACCAAGGTCCATTTCATCTTAAGGCCTAGACTCATGCCATGTGTCAAGTAACATGACATGTCCAGTCAACTCAAAGCCAACAAGATGACGCCACATGTGAAATGATGTGACAATCCCAGTCTAAAACAGTGACCAATCAAGAGTTGCCAAGTGTCTAAAATGACATGTCTTGACCAATCACAAGCAAGCTTATCACATAGCTTATATGATAAGTTTGATGACTCACATGAACCAATCAGAATCAAGCAAGAGAGTTCATATGTAACTGGACTGTCCATCCTCTACCATTATAAATAACAGGGTTACATAACTCTCTGGAGGACATTCAGAGTTGGAGAAGAACACTCTGCAATTGCATCCACAAACAGAGAGATCAAATCATCAAGAGCTTAGTTCTTCAACAAAGGAGTGATCAACGGAGTTCTTCCCGAAGATCAACCCGCAACAACAAAGTGTTGCTCGACGTTCTTGGCGATTAAGTACTTCACAAGGAGGTTTGCATCATTCTACATTCGAGAAAGACGCTTCTCAAGCACTCGAATCACAGAGAATTTTAGAGAGGAGAATCAAGGGATACATAGTATTGTACTCACAAATATTTATCAATAAAATCACTTTTTTCTTCATATTATTATTGTTTTTTTTTTGGCAGATTTATGGAGGAGTGTGAATGGTCTTGACATCCCTAGGGAGATGCATTGCTAGCGAATCACTCGTCTTTTTGTTGCGGCTTGGCGAGAGAAAGACATATGAACTGTCCTTTCACCCTCGGCGATGAAATCCCTACTCTTGGAGGCTTGGAGAGACCATATTTCATCATTGGCGAGTGCGACATGTACCATATCACATTGCTGCAGGCTGGCGAGCAAGACAACTGGAGAAGGCTTTTCAAACTTCGGCGAGCAAGCACTTGGCGCGTCTCTGCTGTTTTGACTTCATAGCATTTCATGCTCGCATTGAAAAAATCGTATCTCGACCTAAGAGCGTCCAAATTTCAATCCGCTTGGTTCTGCAGAATCAAAACTTGCACCACAGTGACATATCCAAAATTTGGGGCCAAATTCCATCAGGACAAGTCGGAATGAACTTTCGAAGGCGATGCACAAGTCTGTCATTTCGGCTTCACAGCACTGCATGCTATCATTGGAACGCACATATCTCAAGCTAGGAACGTCCAAATTGCTATCCGTCTGCGTCCCTGTCTGCCGAACTCGCTATCCAGCTTTGTGTGCACTCGTGGAAAAATTCATATCTTGATCTACAAGTGTCGGAATCGCAAGCCATCTGTGCCATTGGAAAGAACACTACAATTTCTGTAACACTTGAAGATATCATGGAAGAACTCCTTTCGGATTGCCCGCAACAGTAGTTTGAAATTGCTCCTAACGTCTGCCGCACTTGCGATCCAGCTTTGCGCACTTCTGTAGAAAACTTCATATCTCAAGCTACGGGTGTCAGAATCAGAAGCCGTCTGTTCCATTGGATAGAAACTCCGCGACTTACAATATCTGTAAATACCACAGCAAAAATCCTTTCAGAACGTCCGCCACGATATTTTGAAGCTGGTACAGACATCTGCTGCACTTGATTTTCAGATTAGCGCACTCTAGATGAAGAAACTCATATCTTGGGCTAGGAACGTCGAAATCATGAGCCCTATGTGACATTGGAAAGAAGACCCAAATATTAGCAAATCCTCAAAATATCACAGAAGTATTCCTTCTAGATTGGCCGCAGCAATTTCTTGAAATTGATTTAGACGTCTGCCTTGCTGCTTTTCAGCTTTGCGCGCTCCAGTGGAAAAATTCATATCTAAAGCTACAAATTTCCAAATTGTGATCCGTTTGCGCCGTTAGAAAGTAAACTCATAGAGCTGCATCTCATATGAATTTCACGGCAGAACTCTTTTTGGGATGGAAACAGAAAATTCTCAAATTGCGACCTAGCTGCAGTAAACTTTCAGATTCGTGCGGTTCCGACAACCAAAATCGTATCTTGATCTAGGAGCCTCTGAATCGCAAACGGATTGTGTTTTTGGAGATTAGACATCCAAATCTACAACATATAAAATGTTAGGGTCATAAAGTCTTCCGTATGGACCACAGTAGTTTTCCAAAGTTGATCGCGTCGTCCGTTGAGCTCGCTTCCCACCTCTATGCTCTCCGAGTTGTCTTATGAATGTTGTTGTTTTCTTGAAACTGACTCTACAGTCCTGCATATAGTAACTTTGGATATCATGCGTCACAAATCTTATCTCTTCATTTATTTCTTTTGTAGACTTGCAAAGAAGCTCAAAGGTCCAGATATCAGCCGAGATGTCATACAAGATGTGGAGCCACCCCTTCGCCAACTATTGCACTTGATTTGTTGATAGTCTTGAAGCTCATCAATGGAGGCTCCCATGGTGATTAGGACCTTCAACCAACAATTGAGGATGACATCAAATGTGGAGACGTCATATAGACTTGAAAAAGTATTTAGACGTGTCAGCAACAAAGCCTAGTTTACGATCATCTTCATGATTTAGGCTTTTGTATAGAAAAATGTCTAGTTCCTGTTGTCTCTACATTTTTGGATGTATCAACTTTTGTACTATTGAAGCAATAAAATATTTTTTATACTTCAACGCAAATCGTCTCCTTTTTCTCATAGATATGTGCCTCTACACTTGGAAGAATTAATGTAATGATCCGATGATGCCAAACTTTTATTTTTTTAAAACTCATGCGATTGAACTTAGAATGAAAGTCTAAGCTGTCTACGTACCTTGGTGAAGAGGATCAAGTCATAACGTAGTTCAGAGGGATGAGTTTTTTTTTTTTGGTCCTAATTTTTGCCTAGGCCGCCTCTTGCGAGGTTTTCAACCTAGCGGACTTTTTTTTGTTTTTTTTTTGTTATGTTTTTTTTGTTTTGGCCATACACAGTTTAGACTCATGCAGGCCAGGAGTGTAGCAACGTGCAGTTTAAGCTCATGCATCAAGGAGCA